TGTAGCTGAAGGAGGGCAAAAAAATCCTTCCTGGCCATACATGGCAACCAGCAAAGCCCAGAAGTATGGGAAATACCCACAGTAGAACATGGGTATAGCTGCACCTAGGTCACCCCTGACCAATGCTTGTCCAACCTTTTCTGAAACACCTCCAGTAATGGAGAATCCACACCTCCCTTGGCAATCTATGTCACTGCCTCACTGTTCTAACAGTGAAGACTTCTTTCCTGATATCCTATCTGAACCTACTTTGCTGCAACTTCAAGCCATTGGTCCACATCTTGTTCTCCACAACAAAAAAGAAAAGATGTTCTCCAGTAGGAATATGGTATGTCTACCATTGATGAGACGCTGAGTGGGTTTTGCATCCAGTTTTGGAGTTCACATTTCAAAAAGGATGCCTAAAAAGGGTTCCAAGCATTATTTAAGGTCTGAAAAATCTCCCTGAGACCTGAGAAGAGATTTAAGGAGGTCAGCCTATTTGACAGAGGGTGAAAATGTGGCTTGATAAAGGTCAACAGGTACTTACCTGGGGAAAAGGTATCTGATAACCAGGAGACTTTAATTTAGAAAAAATAAATCAGAAAGATCTGGTAGCTGGAAGCTGAAGCTAGAGAAACTCGCATATAAAATAAGGGTAAATTTCTAACTATCAATGTGATTACAAGTTATTGGCTTGATGCAGGACTTAGTACTCTGGCTTGGTTATGGAGAAGGCTGGACTGTAATGTCTCTTCTGGCATTCAGGTATGTGAGTCTAAATACTGCTTCTTTGCTTGTTCTCCAGCAAGAGTTGATCAGTTTGGCAAAGCAATGTGACCTGCCAACCAAAAAGGTAGAGAGGTGGTTCCGATATCGGCGGAACCAGGACCGACCCAGTCTGTCTAAAAAGTTTTGTGAGGCCAGGTGAGTGATGCATTCAGTGATCTTGAACCACTGAAACCTTCCAGCAGGGTTTGGGTTTTGCAGTCAGAGCATGGCCTCCCCAACACCTTTACAGTTAAAGCTGGAATGTGCCTTCATGTGTTCTGCTTGCTTTCTCGTGTCACCCTCTCCTGTCAATGAATCAACAAACCTTGCTGCCTTTAGCCAAAGGCTCCTGCTTTGCTTTTACATTTTCCCATTTATTCAAATAGGAACTTCTGTCCTGAAAAATCCTGGACAGCCATATTTGTTTTTCTGCATGCTACATACTGACCTCCTGCTGCTGTTTCAGAAGTCCTCAAGTGGTCAGCCTGGTGATACCAGTCAGCTTACCCTCCTCTGAATTTCCTAGCTGATTCCTGATACTGAATCCTCACTGTAACACTGCTCTTTCACCCATCCATTCTCCCACTGAAAAAAAAATCACAAATGCTGTACCACACCATCTGCTGGTATGATTTGTCCCAAGCTCCATGCAAACCAGCAGAGCCCATGGGGAGGGCTGGAGCTTTTGTTGGCCTGTTCCCTCCATGATACTGTGACAAAGCTGAATGCATTTGTTTTTCTGGTCCAGAGGCTGATGCACTGTATTCTGGGATGCCCTACCTCAGGCAGGCAGGGTCTGTGAGCTAATGCTGCTTTATACAACAGTGAATCTCTAGCACCATTCAGTGGCTGACATCAAGCCATATGTTTTGTGCATATGAAGAATAAAAAGATGATGAATCGGATAAAGGAGAAGACTTAGTAAAATCCCTATTTTTAGCCCCATTCCACTGAACCCAGCTAGCATGCTATATTACTGAATGACTGCTTTTGCCAGGGATGCATGGAAGTAAGCACAAATGTCCCATTATTGCATCTCTGAACAGGGTCAAAGACAAGGAAGGGTCACATTATGATTCCTAATGTTGCTGGCAAAATAAGCCCCAAAACACTGTGCCACTACCATTCCCTCCCCAGAGAAGTTACATTGTATTAGCTGGTCTTTAAAGAAGAGAAAGCCCAGAAAACTGTCTTTAAGAAGTGATGGGGGACTGGGATGGAGGCAGCTTGACAGGTATTTAGTGTCTGTATCATTTGAATGAACTAATAAAAGGTACCTGCATCACTGCTATAGGTCATATGGCTTCTTAAAGAGCAGGGTGAAATCTTGTACAGGCTGAAATCAGTGGAAGTTTTACCATGATCTTCGGGAAAGTCAGGGATTCTCTCTACAGCTAGGATTCAGGAGAGATGCCTTTGATTCGCAGTTCTCTGTCTGAATGTGTGGCTTGCTCTTCCCTTTTGTTAAGTAAAATATTTACAGGCTGAATTGTGAACCTCACGCCCTACCCTCAGTGTGGAGGACTAGAAGACAATTTATCTACTCTGTCCACTTCCACTTTTCTGGTTTGGCTAATCCTACCAAGAATATAAAACTTTTACCATGCTGGTGATTGTGTAGAATATTCATAGTAAAATGGACTGGTAGAATATGTAATGAAGAGATCCAAAATGCAAGTAGAATAGGAGACACACATGTTTGGGGCATCTTTTAAGAACGCCCAATTACAGATTTCTAAGTAACGATTCTTTCAGAAGCCCCAGAATAAGACAGAGAGGCTGACCTGGAGGCACTCTCTAGAGCAGGGGTGGCCAACCAGTGTGGTATAGGCAGCATCTGTGTTTGGCATTCCACAGATTGGAGAGGGAACAGGGAGCACAGTGCAGATACAGCAGGGAGCAGGCAGCAGAGCAACAAATCAGGCAGGGCAAGAAGATCAAACTGGCACTTGGACAGGATACGCAACTTGCCTTGTGGTACACCTGCCAAAAAGTGTGCCCCCCACTGCTCTAGAGTACAGGGAAGGCTGAAGCACCGTTAGTATATCTGAATGTAGGTGACCTGGGAAAATGAGCCCAGAAGAGGGAAAAACGATGTTGTTTGACTTCCACCAGATGTACCTCCTGATGTGGAAAGGATTGTGATCACTGATGATTATGATGGTGACCTGAGTGATCTTAGGCAAGTTGCTTACAGTTCTTGTGCCTCAGTTGCCTCTTCTGTAAGCTGAAGCCATGCTTTTTCACCTCCAATTGTGGTTGAACAATTCATAGATTTATAGATTCATAGATTACAGAGTCGGAAGGGACCTGATGGATCATCGTGTCCGACCCCCTGCCCCTGGCAGGAAACAGGGCTGAGGTCACATGACCCCAGCTAGGTGATTGTCAAGCCTCCTTGTGGCAGAACAGGGCCTGGGGGTCCGTGACCTCCCCTAGCGCCCCTACCTTCCGTGCCAGATTAGGTTTCCTAATGCACCCTCGATCACTCGCCCGCCACGTCTTTGATGTTTGGTTCACTGAAGGGAGGCTGCCTTTCTCCCTCCCTGGCATGGTGCCTCTGATGCCCGCACTTCTCGATGCTCTCGCCCCCTCCTGGGGCTTCCCAATGCACCTGCCCCCTCCTGGGGCTTCCCAGTGCGCCTGCCCCCTCCTGGGGCCTCTCCATGTACAGACACTGCCCTCTCCTACTGGGGCCTGTCTCGCGCTCCCCGCGTTCTCGCCCCCAACTGGGGCCTATGCCTCGCACTTCTCACGCTCCCCGCCCACACTCGGGCCTTGCTCGCGCTTCTTGCGCTTGGGGCTCAGGCGGCCTCGGCCTTACCTGGCCCCCCCCGGACCCCTTCCTCGGATCCTACGCCCACTGGGCTTCTCCCAATTGGGGCTCAGGTGGCCTCAGCCTTACCTGGCCCCCAGACCCCTTTCCTGGGTCTCACGCCCCACTGGGGCTCCTCCCAATTGGGGCTCAGGCAGCCTCAGCCTTACCTGGCCCCCAGACCCCTTTCCTGGGTCTCGCGCCCCACTGGGGCTCTTGGAGCACCCCCGCCTTACGGGGGGGCTCCTATTGACTGTTTGTAAAGTGTGTAAAATTACTGTTTGTAAAGTGCATTGAGATCTTTGAACAGGAAGTGCAAACTATCTCTCTTATCTATTTTCCTTTGGACTAGCATTGAACCCAGGTGGTGGTTATATATCTCTTTGCTGTAAAAATGTCACCCACTGAATAAATGAATAAATGACTGCCTGACGCACAGTGTTGCAACCTGACCTCTAATGAAATTCTAATATTATTGGTTTTGTTTGTTTGTAGCTGGAGGTTTACGTTTTACACAGTTTCTTTCTTCACTGGACTTACTGTCCTACATGATGTGAGTATAATCAGCATCACCATACTAGGGTACAAAAGAAAACATAGACAAGAACTAGTGGAAACAGTAGATTTTGTAATGCAAGCATATGACCCCTTGGACCTGAATTTCTCCTGTCCCTCATTCATTGAACATCAGACACTTAAGATTTGTTAGTTATTGAACACACCTTCTTATGATTCATTTGGTTCATCAGGTTGGATTTGAACTTCCAAGTTAATGGTGGGAGATTCTCCCTCCAGCCAAAAAGCCTTGAACCATTCAGCCTCCCAAGAATGGGGCGGTGACCCCAGATTTGCAGAGCTGGAAGCACAAGTCTTTAGCCTGGTGATTATTGTACTCGCATGAGAGGAAAGAGACCTGGAAACCAGCCCTCTTGCCAAAGATTGGTTTTGTATTGTATCCAATGATTTTTTAAAAACCACACAAAATGTATAGACAGGTTGAAGAGTAGGAAATGACCAAGGACTCTCATTTCTCAAGTAAGTGCACTAATTACTGGGCCAGAGACTTACAGTCATTCTTCAGCTTCCTGAATCTCTAATTCATTGTCTGAAGAGTGACACTGCTTCAAGAGCGGGGATTGAGAAAGGCTGTCCCCCAGAATAGCTTGTAATCTGGTGGTTACAGTACTCTTCTTAAAGGAAAGAATGGTAACTGAGTCCTAATAAGTAAAGAAAGGAATTGAACCCAGGTCCCCTACATCCTGGGCAAATGTGCTAACCCCTGACCATATTATATAAACGACGAGTAGTGGCATCAGCAACTTCACCAGCTATGTTTAAAAAGATATTAGTGGCCACCACTGCATTTTATATGAAGCACAATGTAGAGTGAGTGCTCCAAAGAATATCTACGAGACCTAAGGGCAGATAGGTGGGAACACCTAGTTTGTGAATCCAAAGGGATTTTAGGTACAAGTTCTAAGCTACTTAGCACTGTCAAGACTGAAGTGCTTTTGAGCATGTCCAGAAGAAGAGCTTTGGGCACATGAGATTAACATGTGAAAGCTGAAGCACCTACAGACTTTACTTGCTTCCAAAGTCATCTGGCAGCTGAGCAGTTCTTTTGAGGAATGTAATTTTGAACTTCTTGAGCCCCAGAAAATTGGAAGTGCGGTTAGTGGCCACCTTTGAATGTTTGGCTTAAATGGCCTTCTCAGTATCACATAGATGCTCCAAATGAAGAAACAGAATCCAATTCTCAAGGGTGACAGTACTTGCCAGCAGTGCCTATAGTAAAATGTGACAAAATATGCAGTGGGAACCAGTCCAATTCATGAAGCAACTGCTGGAAAATAAATGTTTCTGGAGTTCTAGTTGTATTATGCTGTCTCTCTACAGAAGCCCTGGTTTTGGGATCATAGAGAATGCTGGACAGGGTACCCGCAACAGGTGAGTCCCTCGGGAACAACGTTTCTTATTGTACTTCATGTATCACCCCTGAGCTCATGTTCAAACTGTAAGCCATGGCTGTGCGACTAACACTAGAGATGGGCCGGAACTCAACCCTCAGGACCACACATAAGAATCCACTTCCAGTCTCCAAATCCTAGTCTTGTCAGATTATCTTTGTGTCCAGATTACTCCAGTTGCTGTAGTCACTGGGTGAAGGACTGCTGAGGTAGGTTATGGAGTCTCTTTCTGGAGATTGCAGTCGTCCTCTGACAAGCATGTTATACCTTTTCCTTCTGTAGAGTTTTGACTTTTCAGTATTATGGAGAAGGTGAGCTGATGAAGAAAAATGAACAATCAGAGAAGTTGAAGGAAAATGAGTCCTTGACCAGAGAAGCCAAGGCCCAATTCAGAACTGAAGAAGGAGAGGAGGGAGAAATCTCACAGGTTGATCAAAAGCCCTGAGCTGCCATTCTGTAATCTCTCCGAAGGAGAGCAGCACCTGTATGAGGCAGAGAGATTAGCAGCAACAGAGGAGTAACCTGTAGCTACAGGAGACAGATTTACTGTGGGCTTCATGAGCCTCAGTTAGATTTTTCCTCATTTAAAAACAAATTTTACTTTACCTGCATTTCTTATGAAATGTTTGCAAGGCTTTACGAGAGGCCATGGCATGTCTGAGCTCAAGTACAGATCCTCCGTTGCAGTGCTTGGCTGGTAACTGTAAAAAGGCAGAGTTCAGTCTCATAAGTAGATTCAAGGCTTGACAAGACTTGGTTTTGCTTGGCCAGGAGCTGGGACCTGCCTCAGCTCTGAGTCAATGTCAGTGGAAATGATTCATTGATTTAATGGATTTTGGATCGGGTTTGGTCCTTTCCTGTCTGAAAGCCCAGGATGAGGAGTCTGAAAATGCCCCCAGTGGGGTGTTGTCTTGCACTGTTTTACTTGCCAGTGAGTTATTATACCAGGTGAAGAGACAGGGAGGGGAAATTAGGGTTTCTTGGATTGGAAGTCAAGCCATTAGGTTACTGTACAGGTGGCTAAAATGCCCCCTTTTATCAAAAAGTAATTTTCACCTGGGAATGACTGTTCCTAGCTTCCCCCAATACTCTTCTCTGTTCCCCCTCCCTGCCCCCCTTCCTCAGACAGTCTTCTAGCATTTGCGTGGGATATAACACTACCTCTCCCATTTGGTGTTGCAGCCCTTACTGCCCTCTCTGTTCTGGTACTACATGCTGGAGCTTTCCTTCTACTGCTCTCTGGTCTTCACCCTGCCCTTTGATGTGAAGAGAAAGGTGAGTTGGCACCAGGGTGATGGAGAAAAAAGCACAAACAAAGAATGTTCTCCATGGCACGTGTGTGTATTGGCCTGCCCTGGATTTGTCCAGTTTCCATCTTCACTCGTGGGGATTTGTGCAGCCTGCCACAGTGACTGGGCAGGTAACTGGGAAGAGGAGAAATACCAACCACAACTTCCACAGGTGCAAACTAAGATTGGGTGCCCAGCCTTGGGTGCCTTGAGTTGGAAACTCCCAAATTTGAAAATGCAGTTGTCAGTTTGTGCTAGTGTGGGGTTTTGACAATGGTCAGTCCCATCCCAGTCTGAGTCCCCAGTGTGGTCCCAGGGCCAGTATTCACAATCAGCTGATTGTCAGCACCAGCCTGGACAGCCCCAGCTGTGGTTTTCCTGGGGCTGTCTGGGCAGACAGTTAGTTGATTTTCAAAACCCAGAGTCTAGTAGCTCTGGGTGGGCCTCTGGGCATGGGGAATGAAAGGGTCTTGGTGGGGAGAGCTGAAGAGCTTTTCCCACTGGTACCTTTAAACTCTCACAGAAGCCTGCCAGGCACCGGGTTTAAGCACTCTGGCTGTTTGTAACATGCAGAGGGAGCCCAAGTTTGTCCATCTCAAGCCCCATTATCACCAGTATCACTTTCTCTCATTTCCTGCTTTGTTTCATTTCAGAGACCCAGGGATCAGTGTGGATGGTAAAAAAGGATACTTAGTGAGAGGGGCTCTTTCACAGCCATCTTGAGAGGGCCTTTCACTTAGTGAGAGTGTCAGACCCTATTGGGGGTCAAGAGGGGATTTGGTACCTCACTGAATTATCCAGTTCTTGGCCTCTTGTTTGAACAGATTTCTGAATGTCAGGAGTTGTCAAGGAAGAACATAGCAAGGAACTTCTTGTCTGAGAAGGGAATAGATTTTATTCTATTACAAGTGTTTTCCATATGCACATCTTCCTTGTGGGTGAACATACTTCAGTTTAGAAAGAGTCCAGCACAAGACAATGCAAATGATCAAGGGCCTGGGAGACAAGACAGAGGTTGAAAGAACTAGGGTTATTTAGCTTAGAGAAGAGAAGACTGAAGAGGGATTTGATAAGTCTTCAAATATTTAAAGGGCGATTATAGAGAGGATGGAGATATGCTTTTCTCTTTGGCTGTAGGGAACAGGACTAGGAACAGTGGCGTCAAGCAGCAGCATGGGAAATTTAGGTTACAGATGAGGAGGAACTTTCTGACTATGAGAGTGGTCAGACATTGGAATCAGACATAGAGAAGTTTTGGCACTTCCAGCCTTGGAAACTTTCAAAAGCAGATTAGACAGACACCTGGCTGGGATGTTTTAGTCAGGGATGCTGCTATCTTGAGCAGGGGCTGGACTAGATGACAGCACGGACAAATATACCTTCTAATCACTGTACTAGTAGGGGATATTGTAACTTGTCTAGGTGAGGCCTCTAATGAGCCAAACTCTAAGCCACCATTGGCTTAAGACTGAGTACTCTGTTGGCTTGTGACTACAAAAACAAAACGGAACAAAACCAAACCTTCTGTTAGTTCTTTGTTTTGGGGCTGCCCATATCTTTCTTGAAGGTGTTACATGTTTCTTGGCTTTGATATATCTGTTTCCATCATTGGGAGGACTCAGATCTGGTTCTCAGCATCAGGCACACTTTGAATCCCAGTGTTTGGGGAGAACCCAGGACAACTTTCCAGTTTTTAATTACTTAACCAAAAATAAAAATGGAAAAAAAAAATGGAAAAAGGAAAGGGGCTAGAGGAGTACAAGGTCTCAGGATAGTGGCACTATATAAGACAGATACAATTAAGTGGAGAGGAGCACAGCCCCAAAACAAAAGAACTAAATGAAGATTTGTTTTTGATTTTTAAATCATGTTGAAACATGAGCAAACACAATACTCAGTTTTGAGCTGATGGGGGCTGAGAGAAATTCCTCAGGGTAGTCCAAGGGGAGTGGTGGAGCCAGAGGCACTGCAATATAAAAAAGACTCCAAGTACAAGCACTACAGGTTTATAGAAAAGTAGGGCTAGAAGGGACCTCATAATTAGTTATTGCTGGACTAGATGGCCTTATGAGGTCCCTTCTAGCCCTACTAGATCTAGACTAGATCATAATGCTATATGATCAGAGACATAACAGTACAATTGTAACAGCTTATGTGCATTCCCAAGTTGCAATATCCTGCACTAGTGCGGTGATTAGAAGGTACATTTGTCCATGCTGTTAAGTTCTTCAGATTCCCAAGGTAGTGTGTAGAGACAAATCTTCCGACTGGTGTTTCATCTATTCTGATGATAATAGACTATCTGCTAGAACTCCCTGAGCATTTTTGGACAGTGTGGCATATAAATCTGGAAATGCATCAATCATTGTTCACCTAAGGGACTTTAAGACTTACCCCCAGGTGTGGGTCAAGAGAGAAATATCTGCTTGGATTCACCTACGGTGAAGATGTACATATGGACAACTACTCAAAAAAAATACTTACCAAAAAGAGTTCAGTGAGATATGCTGGCCACATGTATGTATGTATGCATCCCACCCTCTTCCTCAGAGTTGCATGCAACTTAAGTCTCTGCATTTAAGGGGAAACTTGAGGAGAATGAAGTATGCACAGCCGTCTGTACGGTACACAGTACGGGTACAGAGATAAAAAACGTTATGGTACAGGTGCCTCCACAGTAAGAATATGCTTATGGACAACATATCTTGAAGGACTGTAGTTAGCAATTTCTCTTTGTTGCCCAAAGGAGAATTTGTTCTGACAAGGACTGAAGGTGGGTCTGACATTTTAATCTTTCTGGTGTACTGTAATTCTTTTTCATCAGGACTTTCATGAGCAGATCATCCATCACACAGCAACTATTTTTCTGATCAGTTTCTCCTACTGTGCCAATTATATCCGCATTGGGACTCTGGTGATGGTGATCCATGATGCTTCAGATTGCATCTTAGAGGTAAGCTCTGCAGACTACGTGTAGTGTAAATCCCAGCTCAGCCAGAGATAGATTAAGTACTGTCAGTCATGACAGGGCATCCTTAATGAGTAAATGGATTGGTAGCGGTCTCAACCTTTTTAGACTCAATGCACCTCTGTATATCTTTCTGAATTTAGTAGTACCCCCTTTCAAAACATCATAAAAATAAGTAGTGACATGTTAATGAATAGGCATTTAAACTTTTCCTTTTCTCTAATGTTTCAGGATTGTTGGTTGGAGCTGTTGGCTGTAGATTTTTCTCTAATCCCTTTATTCTTAGATTAGATCTCCTTTTTTAAAAGACTTTTAGACTGTTTAGATTACGAACATGGAAATAAAGTAAAAACTTGTGAAGTTATGGAAATACAAGAACTCAGAAAATTAAAAAAGCCTCAGGGTCACAGCCCCATAGTCACATGGGTACAGTGGTCTGACCACAGGGTAGAAGCCAAAGGTTTGCACTTGGAAAAACTGCAACTTCCTTTCCTTACCAGCAGAGCAGCTTTCTCCCTCTCAGTTTGGCAGCAATAGTCTCTCACACAAACAGTTCAGGAAAAAAGACCCTTGTTGCAAGACCGTAAGCAAAGCCCTTTATCCTAAACATTGGATGCAGAGGCTGGCTACTAGAGACTATTTGGGAAGCTGGGGCCGATGGCTGTACTCTTGAGCAAGAAAGGTGAAAAATGGGGTGGGAGCTGCCCAATGCCCCAGTGAAGACAATGTTTGAGAATCACTGTGCTAGAGCTTGGCTTAGTTCACTTATAAACGATGGCAGAACTCTAGGGAATATTCATCTGTATTGCAGAAGCACCAGGCAGTTCTGCACTGCTGGCCATCTCTGTCTGGAGGGTGTTGTGGACATGAACACTTGAGTTATTGCACTTAGAATGACAGAGTCATAGAAAATTAGGGTTGGAAGGGACCTCAGGAGGTCATCTAGTCCAAAGCAGGACCCGCCCCAACTAGATCATCCCAGCCAAGGCTTCGTCTAGGTGGGTCTTAAAAACATCCAAGGATGCAGAGTCCACAACCTCTCTGGGTAGTCTGTTCCTGTATTTTACTTCCCTCTTAGTGACAGAGTTTTTCATAATATCTAACCTCAAATTCCCTTGCTGCAACTTAAGACCATTGCTCCTTGTTCTGTCATCTGCCACCACTGAGAACAGTCCAGCTCCATCCTCTTTGGAACCATCCATCAGGTAGTTGAAGGCTGCTATTAAATCCCTCCTCAATCTTCTCTTCTCCAGGCTAAGCAAGCCCAGTTCCCTTAAATTCTCCTCATAAGTCATGTGTCCTAGCCCCCTAACCATTTTCATTGCCCTCTGCTAGTCTATCTCCAAATTGTCCACATCGTTTCTGAAGTGGAGGGCCCAAAACTGGACACAGTATTCCAGATGTAGTCTCACCAGTGCCAAATAGATGGGAAGAGTCACTTCTCTTAATCTGCTGGCAATGCTCGTACTAATGGAGCCCATTATACTGTTAGTCTTCTTGGCAACAAGGGCACATGTTGGCTTATATTCAGTTTACTGTCCCTGTAACCCCCTAGGTCCTTTTCTGCAGAGCTGCAGCTTAGCCAGTCAATCTGCAGCTTATAGCAGAGCATGGAATTATCCGTCCTACATGCAGGTCTCTGCGCTTGTCCTTATTGAACCTCATGAGATTTCTTTTGGTCCAATCCTCTAATTTGTCTAGGTTATTTTGAATCCTAGCCCAACCCTCCAGCATATCTACTACTCCCCCCAGCTTGGTGTCATCTGCAAACTTCTTGAGGTTGCACTCTATCCCATCTTCCAGGTTACTGTTTAAAATATTGAACAAAATCAGCCCCAAGACTGACCCCTGGGGCACTCCACTTGATACTGGCTGCCAACTAGACATTTAGCCATTGACTACTACACTCTGAGCCAGATGATACAGCCAGTTTTCTGTCCACCTTTCATCCAACCCATACTTCCTTAGCTTGCTTGAAACAAAGTTGTAGGAGACCATTGCAAAGCCCTTGCTAAAGTCAAGATTTATCACATCCACTGGTCTCCCTGCATCCACACAGCCAGTCATTTCATCCTAGAAGGCAATCAGGTTGGTCAGGCATGACTTGCCCTATGTGAATCCATCCTGACAGTTCCTAATCACCTTCTCCTCCTCCAAGTGCTTAGAAATGGATTGCTTAAGGACCTGCCCCATGATTTTTCTAAAGATTGAGGTGTAGCTGACCAGTCTTTAGTTCCCTGGATCCTCCTTCTTCCCTTTCTTTAAGTTGGGCACCATATTTGCCCTTTTTGAAATATCTGGAACCTCTCCTGATCACCACGAGTTTTCAAGGATGACGGCCATTGGCTCTGCAGTCACTCACTCTGATCTTTCTCTTACCGACATATTTGTAGAAACCCTTCTTGTTACCTTTCACATCCCTTGCTGGCTGCAACTCCAATTGTGCTTTGGCTTTCCTAACTTCATCCCTGCATGTCCAAGCAATACTCTCACACTCCTCCCTAATTGTTTGCCAAGATTCCACTTCTTATAAGCTTCCTTTTTGTGTTTAAGCTCACTGAAGAGTTCCCTGCTATGCCAAGCTGGCGTCCTGCCATGCTTGCTCGTCTTCCTGCACACCAGGATGGTTTGTTCCTGTGCCCTCAGTAAGGTTTTTTTTTAAAGTACAGCCAACTCTGCTGGACTCCTCTCCACCTCAGACTGGCCTCCCAGGGGATGCTGCCCATCAGTTTCCTGAGGAAGCCAAAAGCTGCTTTTCTGAAGTCCAGGGTCCATATCTTGCTACTCTCCTTCCTTCCTTCCTTTCCTCAGGATTCTGAACTCAATCACCTAGGGGTTGCTGATGCCCAAGTTGCCATCCACTACTACATTCCTCACCAAGTCTTTCCTGTTTGTGAACAGCAGGTCAAGAAGAACACAGACCTTACTTGGCCTCTCTAGCCAACAGGAAGTCCCCAGCACTCTCCAAAAACTTCCTGGATTGCCTGCTCACTGCTGTTTTGCCCTTCTAAAAGATGTCAGGGTGATTGAAGTCCCCCATGAGAACCAGGACCTGTGATCAGGAAACTTCTGCTAGCTGTTTGAAGAAAGCCACCTCCAGCACTTCCTCTTGGTCTGGTGGTCTATAGCAGACCCCCACCATGACATCATCCTTGTTGCTCTCCCCTCTGAGCCTAACCCAGGGACTTTCAACCGATCTATTTCCAGTTTCATACTGGAGCTCTGAGCAATCATACAGCTCTTTTATATAAAGCACAACTCCTCCCTTTTCTCCCCTGCCTGTCCTTCCTAAACAGTATGTATCCATCCATGGCAGCGCTCCAGTCATGCGAGCTCCCACCAAGTCTCTGTTATTCCAGTCACATTAGCTCTGTGACTGTGAGCGGACATCTAATTCTCCCTACTTGTTTCCCAGGCTCCATGCATGCACGTACAGGCACCTGATTGCTTTACATTCTCAGGAAGTGAGAAGGCCTCTCCTGTTGCACCCTCCTGCTTGTTCTTCCTCCAGGTCACCCACTTCCCCACTTACTTCAGGGCTTTGGTCTCCATCCCCCAGTGATGCTAATTTAAAGCTCTCTTCACTAGATTAGTGAGCCTGTCTGAGAAGATGTTCTTCCCTCTCTTCATGAGGTGGAACCCATCTCACTTCCATACAGATTTGAAGAGCATTGGCTGAACTAAGTAGTGGCCCAGGACTGTAATAGCAGAGATGCTGCAGGTCAATATGATGGTAGAGCATTGTAGGGACCGCCTGACATACAACCCCAGAAACGTACCTTAATGCTGTTGAGTTGCAACATCCACCATCATAGGCCTTCTTGCTTAGGACATCCATAGCGGGGCATAATTAGCTACATGAACGCTGACTCCTGCCCTTCTGTCTAAGAAGTGGCACATGTGGGCACATACAGAAGGGCTGTTTCCACCTGTTCTATTTTATTTTTATTTCTTTTTCAGCCAACTAAGATAGTCAACTACATGAAGTGGAAAAGAGTTTGTGATGGTCTCTTCATCATCTTCTCAGCTGTTTTCCTCATCACACGCCTGGTTATTTTCCCCTACAAGTGAGTAAGTGTTTTTGTCCACAGGGTTCAAACATGTATCCCAGTGAAGCACTACAGAGTCGTAAGTAGTCATCCCAATGCTGAATCTCCAGCAGCAGTCTCTGCTTTCTTCATGCCCAAGAAAATACATAACTCTTCTGAGCAGGGCTGCATCACATGCTTCTATTGCACCTTGTATCAGTGTGAGCTGGGCAGTCATGTCCCATGGAAGTCTATCTGATTGGCTCACAGATTAGAGACATTCATCCAGCCTGGAAACTTTCTGTGCATTTCTGTCTCTCAGAGGCTTCCAGGAGGTTATTCCCTACATCCCCTGACCTGCCAGGCTATTAGCCTACCACAAGTCTCCTTAAGCCATTGTCTCTCCTCTTTATCCCTCATTACCTGTCCACTGACTGTTCCCATATACATACAGCAATCAAGACTCGTGGTAGAGGTGATCTTTTTTATTAGACCAACTAGATTTTTGCAAAAAAAATTCTTTAATTGCAAGCTTTCGGGTACAAACACCCTTCTTCAGGTATAGAAAAGATTGTAAAAGTTCTCCTGGGTAGAAATGAAAGCCCAGAAGCTCGCAATTAAAGAATTTTTTTTTTTTGCAAAAATCTGGATGGTCTAATGAAAGATATCACCTCTACCATGAGTCCTGATTGCTTTTGCCTCTAGAGGAATAAGACTACAACCTGGATACTTCACCCCATATTCATACATAACTTATAAGTCTTCTGAAATTTCTATCAGAAGACAAGTCTTCTTCCTGAGCTTGCTGACAGCCAAAAAATGATGGCGTAGTTTGAATTTCCCTATTCCCTATTAAAATGATTGATGTTCCAACTTGAAATGATGTTTTACTATTTTCATTCATTATTCAGTCATTGTTTGCCTCAGTGGAGGGAATGGGAAAGGTGGGCAGAGAGAAGCCTGTAAGACTGAAAATTGGTAGTACTGTAGAGAAGGAAAAGCAGAGGAGACCATTAGAGAACAGAATGGGGCAGAAAGCCAGGAGAAAAAGAAGAAACAGGAACAGCAGTCATCTGAGGGAAAGTATTTTCCCATGGAGTGAAAAATGTGACAAAAGGACAGTAGGGCAATAGAAAATAATAACTAAATATTTAGTATTATGGAAAGACCAGATTCTTCTTGTAGTCTCTGAGCAAACCTCCTGGTAATTCCAGTGACAGCTTTGCCTTATGAGGGGTCTACATTTATTTTGTCCTAAATTTATTCCCTTCCCACTGATTAATTGTGTAGCTGTCTTGCTGTCCTGCATATGTGTAACGCCCTGCTCTGGGGCAGCATTGCTCTTTCACCTTATCTATATGAAAAATGAAATACTACTGTACTGTAAAATAAGCAATCAGCTAAACATACAAACTTCATCAGTTTTAATATCAAGCCTTGGCTCTTTTCAACCTACTGAGAAGCTCAGAATTCATTGGAGTTCACTCCCCAAAGAACACTTTAGGGAAATGTTCTTGGACTCCAGTCAGCTTTGAGTTGGCACCAAGTCACACTTACACGGCCCTGGACATAATAAGGGAGTCCTGCCTCAGTACAGTGTGTAGCAGTGGGGCCTAAGAGGCAGAGTACAGAGGATCTCAGGAGTGAAGTTATGAAAAATGCAGGAAGGTTACAGAGCAGGTTGGAATCATTCTTCCATGTAGATGATTTAGTCGTTGTCCTTTATTGATCTGCCTGATTTACCCTTGGTCCAGAGGAGTCAGCCTCAGTATCAAGCATCTGTCACCCAAAATTGAAGCAACAAGTCACTCATTTTAGCAGCAGCAGATCTTGCTCAACTGGACTTTAAAAACTGGGTGCTTTGGGGGAGTACATTAACAAGGAGTATGAGATGTTAGGGTTCTGTGTCTGGCAACAGCCCAGAATGATGAGAGAAAAGCAGTAGACCCTATTGGATGATGCTGTACATGATGTGGAGAGAAATCACATGGCGTGGGATTTCACAATCACATTCTTTCAAGTCTAAGCCAAATCATTACCATCATTTTTCTGCCTACAGAATTATTTATGTTGTTTGTCATCAGATTATTAAAACCTTTTAAAGCTTAGGCTATTGTACTTAAGGGCCCTGGGGCTGGGTACTTTTTGGCACTGGCAGTGCCCAGTGTGATAACTGTTTGCTTTTATTTGTACTAAATTTACTAGCTATTCACCCCAAATGTTACTGGAATGAGCATCCACAACTGCATTGAAAATCCTAGTCATGTCGTGGCTGTCCCAAATTCCACTAGTTATGATGCCCCCCCACCCAAAGGTCATGAAAGTGTAGTTGCATTCCCATAACATCTACCCCCAAGCCACATCCAACTTCCCCCTTAACTGAGATACAAGGGGTACTGGCAGAGAGCCAGATAATCCAGTGTTTCACTACCTGACTTTCTGACTTCTCTATAGGATGAGTTTCTAAGTATCTGGCCCAGAAATGTATTTTCCACACTGTTCCAGAGACTGTTGACCCTGCTGCCTTGAGCTCTGATGAGTCTGGGCCAGTGCTTTAGCAGGATATGCTAGTAACTCTAGTGTTTGTCTAAATAAAATATAAAACCGTCAGTGAGATGGAATAAGTCACTGTCACGGAATAAGTCACTGTCACAAACCTGAAATGGAGAGAGCTCATATAGTTCAACAAAGAAACTGAGCCCATTTCACTCTTAGATGGGAGTGGAAAGTGAGTTTCCAAGTGATATGTGTAAGGTCATATATATGCACTGACCTGAACCTTTATTTGAGGCTAGAGCTGAACCTTGTAAGGTTGACTTTGCACTGTCCCTGCTGAGATTTCACTCCTGTCTTTACTGAGATACTTTCTCTCCTGCAGGGTGCTCTACAACACATACTACTACTCCATGGAGATATTCCAGCCCTTCTTTGGATATTATTTCATGAATGCTCTCCTGATGATACTGCAACTGCTCCATGTCTTCTGGTCCTGCTTAATCATTCACATGGTCTACAAATTCATCCTCGTTGGCACGGTATGGATTAGCTTGCAGTCCCCATACTCTTTGGGGAGGGGGATTCCTCTGGTCTGCTGTGGAGCACATTAGTTCATTTGTGATGGATTCTCCCCAACCCTTGTGCATTCCAAAGGTGACATTCAGTTTCTTTCTTGATCATCTAAATATCCTGATTTGGTTTTCTCTGTGATGTTGTAATCAGAGCGTTTAGAAAGCCCCCTCTCCTCATCTTCCCTCCCCTCGCCGCCTCCAAAACATTGTGCCACCAGTGCTCTGCTGAATCCACCGGGCTTTGCAGGCTGGATCCAATCTGTGGGCCATATGTTGCTGACCTCTGGCCTGGAAGATGGACCATTTAATCTGTGGACAACAGTGTTATCAGAAGGGGGTCATCAGTGTTGCCATCTGACTCCATTAATGTTACCATCTGAGTGTTACTGGTAACACCAGGTTTCTTCATTATGGATGATTGGTGCACGCACTATCAGGATGCTGTCTGTGATGCTGTTTCTCTGACATGCCATGTATGCCCCGAACAGTCTTATTGCTGCAGAAAGCATAACCACAGCTCAGTGTGCAAATCTCAGCCAGGTTTATTGTCTACAATCAAGCCTGTTCATCCATGACAAGCTGGTACATGGTACTCTCACGTTCCAGTTTGCACCAGTTACTGGAACCTTCCCAGCAAATAGGGAGGCATATTTACCTGGTCACTCTGATCCTTGCCTAAGTGCTTTAGTGTACTATACTGGTCTTATCAATCCCCTCTCTCGTTAACCTTGCAAAGTGTGCATAAGGACTAATTATCTAACTTTCCCAGCAGTTACATATAAACAATGTGGTATGCCTAACTAGCACTCAATGGATTCATCTACATGAAAAATTTACTGTGGAGCTGACTAATTAGCTCTGCAGTAAAACATCACTGTTTATATGTGTGATGTTATTAGGGCAGAGTAAACTAATAAACTCCACCAGAGGATAGTAACGCCAGACACAAATACTATCTTACAGTGGAGTTATTTACCCTGTCGCAGCAGACATGTAGATGCTGACGGGGATGGATGGGACATGAGGGTGCTACAGTGTGGGAGCTGCCTTGCAGCTAGCCCTGCAATATAGCACCCTCGTATCCCAGCCAGCCCTTCTGCATCAAATTAAACCAGGTCAGAGCAACCCCAAGCCCAGTAAGGCCTACTTTGGTCCTTGATTTTAGCAGGGCCCGTATGTGTTTTGTTATATAACTTGATCACTAGTTGTATTCATCTGGATTCCAGCAACTCCTGTAGGCACTAGGGCTGTGCAAAGCTTCAGTCGCTGATTCAATTCAGCGGAGATTCAGCCCAATTCAGCAGTTGAATCTCCAAATCCAAATCAAATCAGGAGACCCTTTAATCTCTCCGAATCAATTTGGAGAGATTCGATGATTCAGACATAAACACAGCATTATATGTTTTTTCTGAATACCTCAAGGTACCAGGTGGTTCATGAATGCTGAGATGGTGAGGCAAATGGAGCGTCCCATGGGAGTGTAGGGGGTCCCCAGCACGCTCGGCGGCGGACCTAAGTGTGGACCAAAAGCACTTCCAGTCCACTTCTGGGTCCATTGTGGGGTGTGCAGGGGATCCTGCCATGCCCTGGCTCAGTGACTGGTGCCTCCTGGGTCTGGGGGGGGCACCGGGGTCCCCCTGCAACTGATTGCTGAGCTGGGGGGATGTGGGGGGGGTGGTCTCTCACACGCTTGACAGCAGACCCGGAAGTGGACCAGAAGTACTTCCAGTCCACTTCCGGGTGCACTGCTGAGCATGTGGGGGGGTCCCCCACGCTCCTGTGGGATGCTTCATCCACCCCACCATCTCAGCATTCACGAGCTGCACCTGGTACCTTGAAGTATGTAGAAAAAACATTTAAAGCTGTGTCTATGGCCAAATCAGCATCAAATCTTCAGATTCGGATTCAGCCAGATCAAATCGGGACGGTGATGCAAATCAACTAATTGAATCACTGTCCCCCAAGTCAGGCTAAATCCAAATCGAATACGGCCCACTTCGCACACCCCTAATAGACACCAAGCTGGGTGGAGTTGCAGGCACTTTGGAGGATAAGATTAGAATGCAGAATAACCTTGATAAATTGGAAAAATGGTCCAAAATTGACTGAAATTCAGTAAGGATAAGTGCAGACTCCTGCACATAGGACAGAACAATCAAATGCACAAATGCAAACGGGAGAATGATTGGATAGGCTGCAGTACTGCAGAAAAGCACCTAGGGGTTATAGTGAACATCAGGCAGAATATGAATCAACAGTGTGCTGTTGCTTTAAAAAAATCTGATATTATACTGCGTTGTATTAACAGATGTGTTGCCTGCAAATTGGGGGATGTGACCAAACATATAATTTGGGTTATTTTTGCCTATCTGCATCACTTTACATTTATCTATACTGAATTTCACTTGCCACTTATTTGTCCATTCACTCAATAGTGCCAGCTCCTTCTGTAGTTCCTGGCAGTCTGTCTTGATCTTTACCACTTTGAATAATTATGTCATCCGCAAATTTGGCCACCTCACTATTCACCCCCTTTTCCTGATCATTTATGAATGTTGAACAGCACCAGTCCCAAAACAGTTCCCTAGGGGACACCATTGTTTATTTCTTTCCATCCCAAAAACTAACTATTTGTAATCACTCTGTTTTCTATCTTTAAGCTAATTTCTAATTCGTAAGTAAGCCTTCTCTGTAATCCCATGACTATCTAAATTCATTAATTGCTTCTGATGGAGAACCTTGTCAAAAACTTTTTGGAAGTCCAAATATATGATTAACTGGATCACCCTTATCTACCTGCTTACTGACACTCTCAAACAACTCTAGTAGATTAGTGATGCATGATTTCCTTTTAAGAAAATCATGTTGATTCCTCTGCAACAAATCATGTTCATCCCTGTGCTGAAAAATTCTTTACTGTTATTACCATATTTACTCAAATATAAAATGAGGCTTTTTCTACCCTGATCAGCATGGGAGAAAAAGCCCCTCATTTTACATTTGCATAAAAGGAAGCCTCCTTAAATACACTGCGGCTGCACCTACACAAGATGCTACTGCACAGTGGTTACTGCGCATTTATTTAGTACTTGTTTACACAGTAACCTGAGTTACTGCTCAGCACCAGCCAATCCCTTTTTTTGTGATACGGACTGCACAATAGCATTGTGTCACAGTATTTGCCATGCGATGCTGCTGCACAGGAATATTAGTCCTGTGGAGAGGAAGGAAAGGATCTTGGAGTCATCACTGATGCCAAGATGAACATGGGCCAGCAGTGTGGGGATGCAGTCAGGAAGGCCAACCGTACCTTGTCATGCATCCGCAGATGCATCTCAGGCAGGTCCAAGGAGGTGATCCTCCCCCTCCATGTGGCACTGGTCAGGCCGCAGCTGGAGTACTGCATCCAGTTCTGGGCGCCGCACTTCAGGAGGGATGTGGACAACATGGAGAGGGTCCAGAGGAGGCCACTCGCATGATCAGGGGGCAGCAGGGCAGGCCCTATGAGGGGAGGCTAAGGGACCTGAACCTGTTCAGCCTCCACAAGAGAAGGCTGAGGGGGGATCTAGTGGCTGTTTACAAACTAGTCAGAGGGGACCAGTAGGCATTGGGGGAGTCCCTGTTCCCCCGAGCACTACCAGGGGTGACAAGAAATAACGGTCACAAGCTGGCAGAGAGTAGATTTAGGCTAGATATCAGGAAGCACTACTTCACTGTCAGGGCGGCTAGGATCTGGAACCAACTTCCAAGAGAAGTAGCACTGGCTCCTACCCTGGGGGTCTTTAAAAGAAGGCTGGATGAACACCTTGCCGGGGTCGTTTGACCCCAATACTCTTTCCTGCCATGGCAGGGGGTCAGACTTCATGATCCCTTCCGACCTGACCAACTATGAAACTATTAGTCTACTGCACAATCAATGTTTCATGTAGATGCACCCTGTCTATCATTAAATTTCTGCCAGAACCAGTGTGTGCTTAGTAATGGAAACCAACTATAAAGTTGATTGAATGCAGCTACCACTGAACATGACTATAAAAATATGGCCCATATGGGGCAATCATACTGATGGGAACCTTTTTTATTATTATTACAAAACAACTAAAAGAAACTGCACCAACACAACATTTGATAACCTCCCCTACAACAATACCTTATTCTTCTTACACCTTCTTACCCTTAAAAGATAGTGTTCTACCACTCCATAATCCCAATATCTGTCTCACTCTTATCTCTAACTTCTCCCACACCTTTGTTCCTTTCTCTTCAGTGTCCATTAGGATTCCTAAGATCTTGGTTTCACCCTCTACCACCAACAGCCCAAACTTCTGTAAATTCTCCCAGTTCCCTTCACCCATGAACATACTTTTCATCTTATTTAATTTTGCCCCTGATACTTCACCATAGTCCTCAGTATGCTTCAGTACCTCCCAGTTGATGCATTGTCCTGTGCCAGTATTTTCACATCATCCGTGTATAATGTACATTTAATTTCTCTTCTTCCTGTTATGTCTTCACACCACTTACCAGCTTATCCTCACAAATTCTCTATACCGATGGCTCCATCACACACACAAAAAGATACGGGGACAGTGGGCATTCCTGTCTTGCCCCTAGTTGTATAGGGAATGCTTTGCTCAAGTAACCATTTAACAGTACTCAACTTCCTGCTTTACTGTATAGAACTTTGACCCATCCGATCATCTTAGCAGGAAACCCCATCTTCTGCAATACTTCAAACATGAAATCATGTTCAACCTTATCATAAGGTTTTTCTAGGTCTAAATTAATTATTACTATGTTTCTTTTCCTCTCTTGTACATCCAATATGACATGTATCATTAACCATAGAGTCTGGTATATCCTGCTCTCAGGAATGGCACATGTCTGTTTTTCTTGTATCACATCTGCTAAACGGTCACTCATTCCTTTGGCCAATACTTTTGCCATCAATTTGTGGTCTACTTTAAAAAGGTTATCAGCCTCCAGTTGCCTAACCTGTCTTCCTTTCCTTTCTTCAGTATCAAAATTACCACAACCTCTGCAAAATCCTCCCCTGTCTCCCAACCCTCCATTATGTCTCTATTATATCTGTTCCCAGCCATTGCCACATTTTTTCACAGAATTCCACCAGAAGTCCATCTCTTCCCAGCACCTTCCCTCTCTTGCAACCTTTTAAGTCCATCACCTATTTCATACTTAACTTCTCCAATTTTTGTTTCTTTACATCTTCTGTTTGTTCCTTTATCCCCTCAAGAAACACCTTCATCTTTTCTCCATTCCATTCCTCTTCTTTTGTACAACACTTTATAAAACTCTGCCACCACATCCAACACCTTTGCTCTCTGTTCAGGTTCCTTCTTCAGTTCTCATTGATTTCAGTTCCCTCCCTTTTATCCTCAATTTCATTGAAAAATACTTACACCCTTCTCCACCCAAGGTGCTCTGGTCAGAAAGATTTTCTTATCCATTTTTCCAGTTCTTCTTTCACTCATACCCCTCTTACCGCCTCCTTTAATAATTCCTGCTTCCTTGCCTGTAGTTCTTCCAGATCTTCCACCCTCTTCTTTGCTTCTCTTTGACCAATATTCCTGAAAAAAAATCACTTATTCTTCTCTTTATTATTTTCCACCACTCCCAGAAGCTTTTATAGTATTTTTACAGAGTCCTCCATCCTTTATACAGTTCCACATATTCTTGACAGGTCTTCTAGCCTTGTAATAATTGAACACTTAACTTCCACATCCCTTTCTGCCTACCTTTTGTTTGTTCGAAACTCACTCCCATTCTCAACATCTGGTGATCATTGAAGATCACAGCTAAGATCTCCTTCTTTCCAATCCCTGGCCCATTTGATATTAATACGAAGTCCGACTTCAACACCTGTCTCCCACTTGGTTCCATCCTCATAATCACCTTCTCACCAGCCCACACATCCTTTAAACCTCCTTCTTTTATTATATTAATCAGTACTTTTGATGAGCTCTCTAGCTCTCCCTCCCCTCTATCTCCTACTCTGCTCCTCAATAATGCAATTGAAACCCCCCCACCAGAATTTGCTACCTACCTTTGCTTACATACACCTCTAATTTCTTAAACAGAGTGATCCTTCCTTTTATTTCAGCCAGTACGTATATATTAAAAATCTCTAACATCTTCTTTTCAAATTCCACCCCCCACCCCCCCCATTGCAGTCTCCCTTCCACAATCACTTGCACTTGCCACACTTCCCCTTGGTAACTCTTGAGCAAAACTGCAACTTCAGCTTTTGTTTGTATTTGATCCCACCTACCATGATGGTCCCCATCCCCATCTCTTTACAAAATGCTTATAATCCCTCTCCCATAAGATTCCACACTCCTGCAAATGTATTATGTCCACTTTTACACCACTCGCTATTGGCATAATCTTATCCCACCTCTTCCTTGATAACACACTTCTGGCATTTATAGATGAAGTACACAAAACCATGCTTGTCCACTGAGATTTCACATCTCTACCACCTTACGAATCTTCTATGCTGCTGCTTCACACCATCAGCTCTAAGCCTCTCTCTCCTAGCACCCCTGTAGTCTTTGCCATTTGTTTTACTGCTTTAACATTTAAGAAAGGTTCCCCTTTCCCCTTCCCCACACATTTCTGCTTCCCTTCCCCCTTTTCCTCTCCATTAGACCCAGACAACATTAGCTCAGATGAGCTTTTCGTGAATCCATCTCCCTCCCCATCTCTCTCTTTGTCTGCCACCTTCTTTCTAAGCTTCATAGCATGTCATTTTGTGCTTTTCCCTATTTGGCTCTCTACTTTCTCTTGCTCTATCCTCACTCCTCCTCCTTCCTGTATCATTCTCTTCTCTTTCCCTTTTCTCTTCTCTGTCTCAAAGTCATGTGTTCCACCTAATTTTCCATCTTTTCCTTCCTCTGTTGCCAGATGCACCACTTCACCTACTGAAATTTCACTGTCTTCCTGCTCAGCTCTTCCTTCTTGTAGTGTGTCCTCCAATGTCATGCATTCTGACTCAACATCTTCTTCTTCCCCACTTTTCCTTTCCTGTCTCCGCTGCTCCTCTGTAGATCTAGCTGTATTTGAGAAGGACCATGGGCTTTGGCGCTGTAGGTGTCCCTCTTCCCTGCAAATAACACACTTCAGTATTTCTTGGCACTCCACCAACCCTATCCTGTTTCCTTTCACATCTTTAGCATGTTGTGTACTGTCAGTATGATGTAGGGCTGTGTGAGGTGGGCTCTATTCGATTCAGATTTGGCCCAAATCAGGACCAGTGATTCGATTCATTGATTAGGATCACTGTCCCCGATTCAGTTCGGCCAAATCCGAATCTGAAAATTTGATGCTGATTCAGAGAATCAGTGATTTGGACACAGATACAGCTTTAAAAGTTTTTTCTACATACCTTGAAGTAGCAGGCACAGCTTGTGAACTGTGATGCTGAGGCGCATGGAGCATCCCACAGGAGTGCGGGGGGACCCTTCATGTGCTCGGTGGTGAACCCGGAAGTGCTTCCAGTCCACTTCCACATCTGCAGGGGAACATGCTGGGGGGGACCCCCTGTGCCCCCCCAGCTCAGCAATCAGCTGCAGGGGGACCCTGAGTGCCCCCCTCCTGAAACCCAGGAGGCACCAGTCACCAAGCTGGAGGCATGCAGGGGCCGCCCCAGATGCTCCCCGGCCGACCCAGAAGTGCTTCTTGTCCACTTCTGGGTCTGCTGCTGAGCCCTACGTGCTTCTGTGTGATGCTCCATGTGCTCCAGCATTGCAGCAATCATCAGCCCCTGCTACCTAGAGGTATGTAGAAAAAACATTTAAAGCTGTCTCTATGTCTGAATCTCTGAGTCTTTCTGAATCAGTTTGGAGGGTTCCAGTTTGATTCAGAGAGATTAAAGCATCCCCTGATTCGATTCAGATTCAGAGATTCAGCCACCGAATCGGGCTGAATCTCTGCTGAATCGAATCGGGAACCGAAGCTTCGCACAGCCCCACTATGCTGCCAGGTGTCCTTCCTGCCCACACTTGCTACAGAATTTAGGCTGTCCAAAATAAATTGTAAACCCCAGTGTGGCCCTGCTTGGATTACTGGTGGTAAGTCCATATCCCACTTAGATTCCTCTCATCCACCTTTATTACCACCCAAGTTCTCCACAACCTTGCCAATATACTGTATTTATCACACATCTTCTCAACTTACATAACCTTTTGTAGATAATTCTCCAACCATTTTTCTGTCCCCCCCATCTCAAGCATGTCTGTGCACATTTAAATAATTAGTGTCCTTTCTCTTGTCTTTTCTCACACAATAAAACTCACTGGGGCCACTATTATAACCTCTCACTGGGGCCACTACTGTGCCCCCTCACTGGGGCTTCTAGGCCTTATGCCCCTTGGGCCTCAGCTCGGCCTATGGCCCACTCAGGCTGCAGGTATCTGTTGACATGCCTGGGCCCTGTGCTTTTCTTTTGGGGAGTGCTCCCCTACCCTTTCCCCTCCACAGGATCACCCACAAGGCAGCGAGGGCTGAAGCTTTCCAGAGCCTCATCCTAGGGGTGGCACAGATGTGGCATTTCCTGAGGGCTGGGGAGGCACAGATGTGGCATTTCCTGAGGGCTGCCCTGCCAGAAGCAGCCCCACCATACCATCCTCCCCAGCAGGGTATAGTGTTAGGTCATGCCGTAGGACTAGGAATCTCCTCCACCCCCATAGTTCCTACCCTGACCCTCCAAGATGTTCCTGGGAGCAGCAGTACTCCGGACAGATGTTACTCTGGCAGCATCCTAGCAGCAACAACTGGCTCCACTCCTCAGGGCCTGCTCTTATGTTGAGGCGGCACAGCCTTGCTCCAATCAGGCATCATGCTGGCTGTCATGTGATTGCCTGATTCGCTCTGCAGCCACATGCAGGCTGCCTCAAAGCCTGCTCAGGCCCTTAAGGTGACAAGCACCCACAGGTGCACTGCCACACCCTCCCATAACTGCCACTCTCCTCTCCAAGGCTGCCACCAATGCTGTTCCAGGCTCTGAGAACTCTTCTTCCTTTATCCCAGTGCTCCAGCACTTTCCCCCCCGACGCCATGTTTGTCTGGCCACTGGGCAGGCATGGCTCAGCGTAGCCATGGCACAGAAGTGGGATCTGACCCCAGCCCAGCCCAGCTGGGCTGGGTCTGGGACACTCTGTGGTCCAGGGGTGTGTGGGGCGGGGTTGGGGGCAGGTGGGGCAAGGCAGGGCAAGAGGGGTGGGTCAGGGCAGGGTGGGGGTGCGAATCCTGGGGTGCCCTTTACTTCCAAAAAGTGATCTTCAACATAAAAAGGTCAGAGACCACTGTATTAAACAAAGCACTTTAAGGCTCTTTGCAGACAAAAGAAAAACCAAACAAACCCACGCTTTCCCGGAAACAGCAATGCGTCACTTCAACCCAGCTCTGCAGCATCTGTATAGACTGGGTGCTTCAGCGGCGCTTTTTGGTGCTTTTAGCTACAGCTGATTTAATCTGCTATTAAGTAAAAGCTCCAAAAAAGCCCCACTAAAGTGCCTGATATTTACAGATACTTCAGATACATTTGCTTCCTCCAGCTTCATTGGTCAAAGGAAGTTGATTCTCTGTGCGGAAATAACTGGTGCTTGTGATGGCAACAGGCTGGGACATAAGGGCTTCCCAGACCCAGCTGGACCTGATGTGGGAATGAGAGAGAAAAATCCTTCCTGGCCTAATTCAGTTATCTCCTACGACCTTAGGGTGCTTATTAACAAGTATGACAATTCATTGCATCAACCAGGAATCTCACATAGATTGAAATCAGAGGAATAGTTGGAGCCCATTTCTGTGTAGCCTGGAAAGGGCATAAGGGAAAGCATTCATCATATGCATTGCAACTGATTTAAATATCTCTCTTCTGCAGATGGAAAAGGATATGAGAAGTGACACCGAGGAAAGTGACAAGGGTGAAGAGGAGAAAGAGAAAAATGGGATGGTGCATTTTGACAACATCACAAACAACAATTGTATCCAAAGTAATGGAGCCCAGCAGCGAAATACCAAAACCCCTTTTTTATTCAATGGCTATGCCAAAGAAAGATAGCATGGGCTAAACCTCCTGCTGATCCTGCCTATACCAAATTCAGGCCACTGTCCTATGTTGCTCATTATTTGGACATGGAGGGATATGTTTTTAATTTCATAGTTACATTTCTACTTCCCACAAACCAAAATTGCATGTTGCCACTAGATATGCAAAGGTTGCTTTTGTTCTGCTATCCAAAAAAATGTATTTTATATGTTGTGGTTTTGAAAAAGAAAGGGATAGAAGGGATCAAAGAGACTTGGTTTTAACAAGTTTTTTATTATCTGTGTTTATCTTGAACAATACTTTGAGCAACTGATAAAACCCCAGAAATTGTAACTTGCAGTCTTAATGGAGTAGTAGTGTTTGGCAGGAATCTGTTAATCCTAAAGAGTATATTCATGGAAATACAGGCATAGAACTACTGATGATTAGAAATAGAAAATAAATGCTTCATGTTTTGAGCAGGAAAGGGTCCCCTACTAAGTCGTAAGTATGAATGAAAGTCAAGGAGACTAGCTAAAAGGAAGCTAGAGAAGTCTCCACCTTCCTGGAGAATGTTGCTGTGGGACACATCCACCTGTGTCATTACTGGAGGGATCCTAGCTCTCCCTAGGTACGAGATTTTCAGGTCTGTTCACTTTGTTTCATGAATGGGATTAGAAGACTGAGATAGGATCTGGAGCCCAAGCACTCAGTGCCCTATTTAGATCACAGTTTAGATAAGCAGGATTGCCAACAGTCAGCACTGCCCTTTCAACCCGTTTCTCCAATCATTATGTTAGAGACAGGAGGGAACAAGAAAATAGACATTTTAGGAGACTGCTGCATTTGTGGGGACCTGGAGTGTAGCATGTGCCAGGCCTCAGCAGTGGCCGCAGTGCTCCCTGGTGGCCACGTAGCACCTGCCCCACTTTGGCTTTACAGGTACCCTTCCCTTTTCTCCCTCCTGCCACACCTTGATGTAACTGGTTAATTTATAAAAAGGGAGGAGGTTGCCTAATAGTCCTCAAATGAGCCTTTGTCAGTCTTCCAGCTGGCAGGTCCTTCCTGGACCCCACTGGTCTCAGTCTTGCCCCTCAAGTGCAACGTGAACCTTCCTGGCCCATCTGTGCCCTCTGGACACTAATTGCCTAAAGGCTAATTTTGTGGTCTCCAACCTCCCCTGTAGGCACATCCATGCCTTGCAGATGTTACTGTCCAATCAATCTCCCCTGTAAGGACCTTGGCCTTCTCATCCTCCGTCCCTTTCTTGCTGGGCCTATTAGCTCAGGCCCATTGTGCTGGACCTGGTTTCTGGGCTCCAGCCTCCACCCTACTCCTAGGCACTGAACCTCCTGTGGCTCTGTCTCCATCCTGCACCTGGGCATCATGTCTACTTTTCCCTGCTCCTGGGCTCTGTCTGCCCTGCTTCCAGGCTCTGCTAGGACCTCCACCATCTCTTAGTCACAACCCAAACTACCAATATAAAATTTTAACAAAGGAATAAGCCCTCAGGCTATAACTGAAGCTCCTAACTAGATCTGAAAATAAAGGCCAGTTCCTTGGCTATCCTACAAAACTCCCCACTGCCCTTGGTCACATTCCCCTGCAAGTCAGTAGCACTGTACTTGCATTACTCCCAGAGTAGCCCAGATATCAGCTGGGATGCTTGGGCTCTAGCTGCTGCAGTCTCTCTCTTAAACTAATAGGGCCGCTAAGCTCCCTGTTACATAGAGGTCTCACCTCCCTGAGAGTATTCCTATGGGAATCGAGCTTTTATGAAACATGCATTGCCCTTTCTCCACAGAAAGGGGACAGGGCAGCTGCTGAATCTTATGGACTGATGCGTTAATTCACTATTGTGGTTCCAGGACTCTGCTGTCTAGTTTACACTCAAGAGCAGAAAAGATTGAAGCATTCTTCCATGAAGTCATGATGCAGCTGTGTTAGTTCCCTTTACATTTCTTGTACATTTGCTTGATTTTTATGTACTATATATATTCTAGTGACTGGAGATAATAAAGCCATTAAAGAGAGAAAATTATCATGAACTGAATCATTATCATGCTGACATACAAACCAGAAGGTCATGACAAGTGAGAGAGAGAAAGTGAGTGGGAGATAGAGAGGAAGATATAGAGAGAGGGCTTGTGAGCCAATTACAGGCTTTTTTTTTTTTAAATAATTTTTCCGTGTTCCAAGCCAATTCAACCAAATCAATTCCAGATCCATGAGTCAGTCCAGAATCAAGTGGTCCTACTACTGGCAAACATCATCCACACCCATCTTGGACTTCAGATGGTTCCAAATCTTTTGGCGGGCATCCTACTTGCAGGCCCAGGCCCAGAGGCTTCAGGTTCAGATGCCCCCAAGTTTTGCTTGCCCGTAGCCATAAGGCCCCAGGAGCAAGCTAGGAAGGAGTCTCCCTAGGCAGAATGTGAGAAAGAGAGACTGACAGATGTAGAGAAAGGGATGGAGAAATGACATGTGAGAAAATGTCTAGCTGGAGTGTCACGGCGAGTGAGAGAGTGCGAGAGACAGAGAGAGAGAAAGGGATAGCAATAAGGCATGTGAGCAAATCACAGCTAGCCAGATGGTGATGGTGAGCAAAAGTGAGAGAGAGTTAGGGAGAGAGAGAATGAGATAGCAGGAGGGCTTGTGAGCCTATCACAGCTAGCCAGAAGGTTGCAGGGAGCAAGAGAAAGAGTGGAGAGAGAAAGGGATCAAGAGAGGGCTTGTGATCCAATCACAGCTAGTCAGAGGGTCACGGTGAGCAAGAGAGAGGAAGTGAGGGACAGGGGAAATGGCTAGATAGAGAGCATGTGAACCTATCACCACTAGCCATATATGGGGGGGGGCACCTGCAGCACAGGTGTCACCAGGGGGAAGAGCACATGGCACATGAGTACTGAGCAGATGTTTTTAGTGAACTGTCCACAATGGCTCTCAGGTCTCTTTCCTATGAGGTAACACCTAATGTAGAGCCCATCATAGCATATGTATAGTTTGGGATATTTTTGTCCAGGTGCATCTCCTTACACTTATCCACACAGAATTTCACCTCCTGGCTGCAAGCACGTAGTCCTTCTCATAAAGATCCCACTTCTTGCAGTCCAAGCGGAGTCTCTTTATTATTGCACAGAGCTCTGTCCATGAAACACCTGCATCACGGCATGTCACAGTCAGAGCGGATGCCCCACATGACCCACAGGGAAGCAATGATGGGGACACCGTGCTCGGAAAGCAGCTGGTTCTGAGTTTCCTTGTTTGTTATTTTACAGGGGATACAGCTTTCTTTTATTTTTGCATCTTTTTTCTATTATGCTGCTTAATAAAAGTCTTGCCCATTGTCCATCATATAACCATAGCGTTCATTGTATGCCTAAGACCAGAACACTGACAGGAGAGAAAAGTGTCAAAAAAGCACCTACCAGCACATCAGTTTATGGGGCAGGCAGTGGAAAAAAAACACAGCCTCTTGCACTGCTGCTAGCCAGGCAAGATATCCCCTCCCCCAGCCAGAAACCCAGCACCCTCATGGGCTGGCAGCAGAAGAAAATCACAGCCTTTGTGGAAGCTGCCACCCACATAGTTCAAGTTGTCCTCTCCCCTATCCTACCTGAAATGCTCACCATGCTCACCCTCAGCATGCCCTGCCCTATTCACTACCCTCCAGGCAGCATCCCCTGTGTTCCTGCTGCCAACTCTGGAAAAGGCCACATAAGAGTACAAGTGCAGTTGGCAATATTTAGTCATATGCAGATCTCCATTTTATGATCTACTGCATCGACCCTCATCCCAGCACCTGGCAAAGTGCTCTGCCAGGCCATCTCATACATGCATCGCCAGGCAACCAGCTTTCATGTGACACTGTGCAGTCACGGTGCCTCTGGGTGCTGGAGATGCTCCTCCTCTGCTGGCAGGGGCTCAGGCAGATGCTCCTTGTTGGCCTTGCAGACATTGTGCAGCACTCATGCAGAGACCACAAAGCAGGGTGTGTTACACTCACTGGTATCCGTCCGCGTCCTCAGGCACCTCCAGCAACCCTGGGGATAGCTAGAAGTGCACTCCCCAGCCATCTTGCAGCAACTAGTCAAAGGCTTCATCTGTCAAGACTATAGCAAGTAGGTGGGGTCACCAATAAGGAGGGGGTGTACACTCTCCCTCCACCTCAATGTCATGCATGCCAGGGGCAAACTCTCTATGCTTCATTCGTTCAGGGAGGTGGGAACTCCTATATATTCTGGTGTCATGCACCCTGCCTGTCCAGTCAAGATTGACCTGCCTCAAACGCCCACAGTAATCCTCAACTGCCTGAAGTACAACTAAGAAGAAGCTTTTTCTGGTTGATGAAGTCACCACCCTGGTGCACAGAAAAAAGGATGGTGATATGTGTACCACTAATGTCTCCAACTCAGCTGGGGAACCTCTGGATGGCAAACCGCTGTGTGACCTCCTGTGAGCTGGCACGGTGTACGATGTGCTGTGCCATCTTCTGCTGAATCACAAGACACACCTCCCACACTGTCTCTCCAGCCATTGACTTGCCAATGCTGCAACAGTTTGCCATAGACTGGAGGCTGGCCGACATGAACTTCCATCCTGCAATTTCAGCATGCTTCTCCACAGATAAGAGTGCTCTCATCCTCATGGTCGGCCGCTGGAGGCAGGGCACAGCTTGGCTCAAATCTCCTGCAAGGCTCCCTTCTGTCAGGACGTCCAATGAAGCATGCCCAGCTGGGCCGAGCACTTAAGCTATCACACTTGCCTCTGATCCCTGGCTAATGAGATTGTCCCAGTATCCTTCAACAGGATTGGCTGCTGAAAGTGCATGTGCCACTGCTCATCATCCTAGGCCTCCGTAACGGTCCATTCTCACCAGTGATTACTTGTCTCCCTGGGCTGGAAATGCCATCCATGGTTTGGAGGTGCTCCCACATCTGCCCTGCCAGTGATGACCTGTGACCATCATGTCTTCAACACAGCAGCTTCTGCCATGGAGTAAGAACTGGACATAGCCACGCACCTCCCAGTTGTTGACAGTTAGCCATACATGCGATTTCTCCTCCAAGCTGTCCTTCTTGCTCTTTGAATGAATGGCAGTAACCAAATTGCCCATCACAGCATGCCAGTAATGCCTTTTCCATGCAATCTCAAGGTTAAGATCACAACACGGAGCCAGCATAGTCTGCAGATTGTAGCAAAACACCCAGTTTTTCTTTTTTTAAAAAAAAAATATATATTCCCTCCCCTTCCCCAACCATTTCTGACTTTCTCTCTGCCCTCTCTATCCCTTATAAGTAGCTGGAAAGTCATAGATAAGCTAAGTTCTTGTATTCCGTTATTGTAACAAGCCCCTTTTAATATTGTAAATAGTGTTCTGTTATTTTTGTATTAATTTTTACTGTTTCATATTGTATTCCTATTATTTTGGTATTGATTTTTACTGTTTTACATTGATATTGTACGATTTAGGCCCATTTCTGTAAATTAGCTAAAATAATGCCAAGTCTCCATCTTGTCAAGTCTCCATTTTGTGTTCCTTGCCCAGGCATACCATATTGTAATTGTGTTCCAGCTGCAATTCATACCTACCTCTCCCATGTAAATTGGTTCCTGGGTGAATGAGAGTGCTTGAGACATAAAGGTAGCAGGCCTAAAAATAGCTTCTACTGAATGACCGGACCATCACCTTAATGACCGGACCATCAGCTTAACAACCCTACCACCACATTGCATTGACTGTCCCTGAAACCATAGACCTACTCCCAGGACCAATATTTGAAACCCAATATTTGAAAACCCATACTGTTGTATGTGCAGTTTGTGTGTATAATTTGTGTCACGCCCTTCCACCTAACAGCGTGATATTGAGATCCTGAGCATTGATCTAGCGCATGTCAAATCAACAGAGTGAAGACCACACAGGATCCATTCTGAAGACGGATTGATAGTAGCAGGTGGTGTTGGCAAAATGGTTTGGGACATGACGGCCACGTGCCCCTGGAGGTTGGGGGGAAAGGGGGCACAGAGAACACCTGCAGGCAGCGGCGGTGGTAGTAGCAGCAGGGGTATGGTGGCAGCAAGCAGGGCTCCCACAGGTGGGCACGATGGTGCTGGTGGGGGGAGACGAGGTGGCGAGTGCCAACCAGCAGTTGGCAACCACCCACAGACACCGCCAACAGCGACAGCCAGTGGTGACTGGGGACTGCCCACAGATGCCACTGGCAGTATCGGCAGCATGTGGGGGCTGGTGAGCAGCAACTGTCTGCAGATGCCGCTATCAGCGTCAGAGGCACTTTTTACAGGGGTGTACCGCCAAGCTCAGGGGGTGTACGTGCACTTGTGTGCACCCCCCTATGCATTGCCAATAGTTTGGGGTACAACTTATACAGTGAAATCCACTAAAGTGGGTTACACAGGATTGTCAGGATGCCCCCTTTCTGAATGCCTTTGAAGACCCTCACAATGGACCCCAGTCCTAGGAATAAGCCCTATGGTGAGGTGAGCATTTCTGCTCTTTAAATATATATTTAAAACCATGTAGCACACAGAGCAGATGGAATAAACCCTCTCCAAGACTTCCAAAATCCAAGAATATTGGGGATATACTGTGTACTGAATTTAAAACACTTCTACAAAGTGGTGTCAAAAGCTAAGATAAAAGGATGCTGCCATGATCTCCCCTTGTGGCCTAACTTGGTATGACCTCCCAGGTACTTTGACTCAGCATAACTGTCCTGATGGCATGACTCTTCATACCTGACTTGGTATGATCCTTGCAGTGGCCTGATTCAACATAACCCCTCCCCGCAACAAGTGACCTGATTCAGTATGAGTCCTGTTATGGTCCCTCTTGTGGCTGAGTCTGCATGACTCCCCCAGTGGCCTGACTTGACATGACCCCTCCCCCAGTGCCCTACTTGGCATGACCCCTGTAGTGGCCTGACTTGACATGACCCTCCAAGTAACTTCACTCAATGTAAAACCTAGTGTCCTGACTCAACATACACCCCTCCTATCCAAGGCCTATGCAGGGCC